AAGTCCTCTTCATTCATAGTAAAAACAAAACAAAAAAAAGCCATCTAGGAAGAATCAAATAAAGACCTGAGCTGTCCCAAAGAAAAGGCTCAGCAACATGAGGTCATTACAATGGGAATATCAAAAATAAGAAAGATGATACCCATCCCGGGTGGAGCTGAGACATCTATTGAGAATGGACTTTCCCCTCAAATATCTCTAACACCATAAAAAGGCATGCATGCAGAGGTGAGAAAGGTACCTACCAAGGCAGATAGCACCCTCTGTCCACTTTTAGAGGTCAATACCTTCTTATGAAACCTCAGCACAGAAGGTGGAAATGTGGCTAGAATAAACAGAAAGGTTAATAAGCATCAAGAGTACTAATGGACAAATTGATGTAAATAAAGAATCTCCTAAGAATAGAGCACACTGTCTTGTGTTTATTTTTCTTTTTAAAAATATTTCAGAATTCCAGTCACCCTTAAAATAGGTAACAGTGGGGGTTGGGCAGAATACCAAGTATGATGAGCTGTAACATGAAACTTGTGCTCTGAGAAGACACAGATGTTCTTCTGAATGAGAATTTGGGTAGGGCAAGTAACACAAATGGAGAAAAACAGAGGTTACCCTCTCTTGTAGCCCCAGTCTTTAGTAGGAAATCCTTATCATGATATAAGTACAGAGCCTTCCTAGGAAAAAAAAAAGGTACGCATCAATGGTAAACATCTGATCATTTCCCACCTGAAGTGAGCACCAGAAGAAACTACATCTTCAGGAAAAGATGGTACAATGAAAAAGTTGCTAAAGGTTCAAAAGGAGGGAAAAAAATACATTCTAAGAAAAAACTCAAGTCCCACTGAGGATGCCATTTAGGTAGTCACAGACAAAGTAAGCAAAAATCTTGAAAAAGATCTGAAAGAGTGGGGACGAGAGAGGAAGATGATTTCTGTGGCATCTAAAAGTGGCAGAGAGGACAACTCTGTATCCTGATGTAGCAGAAGTAAACAAGTGATGATCATGAAATAAGTACATGAAAAATGAGTTAATCTGCTGAGAAGTTTGAGAAAGGTAAATAGAATTTCTAAGGTACTAACTTCTCAAGATGGACCAACAAGATTGGTATATGGCACAGGGATCAACATGTGCAAGAATGTGACAGCATTCTAGCTACATGAGAGGAGAAACTGGCTTTTTTAACAAAGGAATCCATAACAGCCAGCCATAAAGCTGTAACAACAACATTGTTGTGGGAGATTGACATTTGAGGCTGGTGTACGAGATGTTTTGAAAGACGTAATGGGAGAGGACTCCTTTGAGATAGATGAAACAATAATAGAAACCAAGGTTAAGCAGGCCAGTACAGAGAAATAAGGAGAACTTGAGATTTCAAAAACTGATCTTGGCCAATACCCAAGGACTAAAACAAAGGGGATGGTAGACATAAAGATTCTCCAAAGGCTGGCTCAAAGCATCCACTACTAGGTTAGTGGAATCTGGGACTAATAAAGAGGGAAATAATTTACTGCAGTGCTAAATACATTGAACATAGGATGACTTAGTCAATGCCATAGTCACTAAAATACTGAAGAAGCCAACTATCTCGGGAAAGAGAATGTTTGTAACACCTGGCATGGGACAATCTTGGAGATATGTATATGATAGGAATGTAGTCAAAGAAGCACAGAGTCTGCAGCGAAACAAAGGCTGTAAGATTGAGTTCCACTCTGATTCTTGATATACACTACCAAAGTAGATTTGTCTGTGTGACGTAAAACATAACAATGGTAAGAACTCTTGACATGCATGATGAACTACCCATAATTCCAAAAGATTAATATGAGAAATACATACCTGAGGAGACCAGAGATCCAAAGGCAGAAGTTCCACAAACACAACACATGAGTCCTTGTGAAAGGCATTTGGATTAAGCAGAGCCTACAGTGGAAAACTCTCAATTCAATCAAACTTGAATGTAACTGACAGTAGCAGGAGAAATGAAAATTCTTTGAGACAACAGGTCTGAAGATAGATGTTACTAAAAGATAAAATCCCATTGAAGGTGTTTCATGTGAGCACAACCCAAGGTAATTGTCTTGTACAAAGAACCCCCAAAACAGACGAGACATCTTTTAAAGATGGAGGAGGGGAGAAAAGTAAGACAGAGCTGAGACTCCAGAGATTGCAAAGTCAAAGGTGATGGGTGGAGAATTCCTCAAAAAGTGTTTATCAAAATCCTGGCTACATCAAATACTGAGTAGGTACAAGCTGAGACTTGAAATGATGAATAATCCCACCCAGAAAGAAAGCTAACTTGGTTGTTAATTGAGTGTGAGTCAATGACTGAGCAAGAATAATTTAGTCGTCCATAAAATGATGAAAATCAATATTGACATAAAGTGTTGATCAGACTGAAAAGGAGGACCATAAACTGATAAATGCTCCTTATAGATAAAGTGAAGAAAATGTTGAAAAGACAGGTGAATCGAAACATGTTAGTAAGCAATTCTGATATCCACTTTTTCCCTCCATAAACCTTGATGAAAAAACTCCATAAGATCTCATAGTTTAAAACTTGAAATGAGGAATGTCCAGATAATGATTGAGATGGGAAAAAATTTAATAGTGGTCTCCATTTGGCTGATTTCTTCAAAATCATGAAAATATCTGAGGTTTACCTGGGGAAACATGTAGTACTGTTTTGATAGTCATTTTCTGTAAAAGGTTCTAAACTTACTTATCCAAACTTTGAATATAAATTGGATCAGAAAAAAGAGGAAAAGCAACTGGAAAAGTCAGAAGTGGAAGAAGGTGATGAAACTTGAGAGAAAATTTGAATTGAAAAATCTGATGAGCTCAAGGATTCCAAAGCCAAAGATTCCACACATTAACACTGGATCCCTGGCATCCTCCCAAAAAGAACTGAGAGGAGAAGCTGATGATAAAAGAAGAAAGTCAATGCTTCCCATTTGATTCTACATTTCACAACTTGAAAAGACCTTAAATAACAAAAACTATCAGTAGAAGGCAGAAAAATAGCAGATTCTGTTAGGTTCTGATGGTTTCCAGCTTCACATGAGGAATGTCTATGTAAAGACTAAAATGGGAAAGATCTAATACCGGTCTCCAATTGTGTGATTTCTTCAGCACTATGAAAAAATGTGAGTAAAAACATCGGGGAAACAAGAAGCACTGTCTTGATAATCCCTTTATGAAAAAGGTTCAAACTTCTTTATCCAAAATTTGAATACAAATTTTATCAGACAGAAGATAAATGTAAACTTGAAAAGTCAAAAATGGAGTATAAGGATAAACCAGATAGAAATCTGAATAACTCAAGGACCCCACAGCCAGGGATTCCACAGATTATACAGCATCAAACAAAAAAAGACTGAGAAAAGAAGCTGTCAGGAAAAGAAGGGAGTCAATGTTTGGGTTGTGAATGCTCACCCCATTTGCTTTTATGTTTCACAACTTATCAAAAAACAAGAAAGTCATGTGGTAACTGAGAACAAGTCAGTAAGTGCTACAGAAAGTGAAGCAGTCATTTGCTCTTGAAACAATTATTAACTCAAAAAAAGGTGAAAAAGCCTTAGCAGAAGAACCAGCTTGTTGTTCTTGAGGAGAAGAAAGCAGATGATGACCTATCATATTGGCATTCATGAAATCCTAATACTTGCTAGTCCCACCCATAGAAGGCTCTACATTAATGGCTCACATATGGCAGTCGATATTGATAGAAGCAGTAGAAGAATATAGGGAAAGATTAACTGAAGTATTGACTTCAGAGGTAATGTGAACTTCAGAATTCATCATGAAAAAAGATTGCACATGATATGAACAGCACAACTGTCAACAAAAAAAATCTAAATAATGGTGGGAAAGCAGATCTTACACTTATATATGCAAAAGTCACATGGAAGGTGAGAGATTGGAGAACTATCGGTAATTTACGTAGACTGTGTAATGCATAAAGAACATCAAAACTTTTAAGTTGCAAATTTGTTGATAGCATGAGAGGCTTGCAGTTTTTCAGAGGTAAGACTACCAAACTTGAATTTTGTAAACCCCCCCCCTCAATACTATTGTGAAAATTTCTTTCTCTTTTTATAGTCTGTAGAAGTCAAGAAAAATTGTGGGAGGAGTTCAACTATGAAATAAACAAAGAAACATGCATACAAAAATACAATAGACAACTGCTACATAGATTCTTAGAGAATAACTTACATTCTTAGTGGCTACTGGAAAATCTAAAATGTTTGGCTAGTGAATAATAACTTTTTCGGTTATTGGATAATCTACATTCACATTATCAAATCCATTCTCGGTTGGACAATGTCAAATGTACATTCTCAGTGGATGAATGTACATTTCCAGACAAATGCTAAGTGTGAAGCTACATTCCCAGTTGATAACAGCTTATCTAAATGTTTAGTAATTAACAACTATAAATCAATATTCCATTAATTTTACATTCACTTTGATTTTTTCCCCTAATAGCTTTACATTATTCATGCTATCTACACTGTTTTGTGTGTAAATACAGCATTAAAAAACTAAAAAGATCAAGGTGGTCATAACATTTTTATATATTTTATGCCTTGTTTTATTATGTATACATGTATTATCTATTCTAATATAAAAGAAGTGTATATCTGGAGGATAGCCTATTTGTTTATTTTTTTGTTTGCTTAACCTAATGTTAACAAATTTTCTATGCTTTGGGTTTACAGGAACAGAAGAAACAAGATCTGATCATTCTTAGTAATTGTAAAGTTACAATCCAGATAATAAGAACTGATCAGTTGAGAATGCAACATTTTCAACTATTTCTGCTTATAAAATATTTCAAGCAAAACAGAATTAAATTTATGCTTCAGGGTTAACTTTGTAAGCTATGCACAATCCTGAATGTTCTATTTATTTACTATTTAATTGAATAATATTAGTAAATATACATTTAAAATGAAGCTTCAGAATTTCATATAGTTTTTTAGAAAGACAGAACACATTAGACTAACCTGTTCTACAAGAGGCTGGAACTCCCTTTCATGGTGACTCATGGAATCACTGGCTTGTTGGCGACTGCTGCTTGAGAATGTTTCAGTACTCAACAAACTATCAGTTGGAATAGTTTTCATTTTTGTTCACTTCTGCAGTATTTAACTCAAGGTTTGACTCTTTCAATTCAGCATCTATTGACCTATCTAGAGTGTAGTGAGACACAGAATGCAAGCAAGGTAACTGTGAATGTGAACACTCATTGGACTTAATACTGTTTTTTTGTACACATGTAAGTTTCTGAGGACAAGTTTTCCATGCACTTGAAGATTTCTGTTCTTGAAGGACAGTCTGAAATGCATTTGCAGAATCACGTACAACATCTTCACGAAGCAATATTATTGTTCCTTTTGTAGATTTAGATATATTTTCAGATTTTTTGGCTGTTCCAGTTTTTTGGTTAAAAAGATTTTGATTGTTTTTTAGTAACAAAGAACTGCCAGACTGAGTTTGCATACAATTTAAAAGTGTTTGTCCTGACACAGATTTTGCAGAAGTTACCTGTGAAATTCCAGATGTTTGCATCATACTACTATGAACATAAGGAAATTTTAGTTGTGGATAGGTATTTACCTTTCCTACTGCATCACTCCTCTGAGCACTACCAACACTAAACTGTCTGTGATGTGGAGCTTTCCGATATTCCATTACCCCAGGAGCATTCCTGACCGGTATCCAGCCTCGTTTCTTCTCCATATTTTTTGTACATATTGAATGACTGTGCATAACAGGGGCCCTTGATGATTTTGCTGCTGTTACACTTAGAAAAGAAACTGAAGATTTGTTATATTTTAATTTAGAGTTTGCTTCAGGTACCTCAGCTGATGAATTTTCATTCAAAGTCATTACAGTCATTTCACCCGATGACTTACGTTTAATCACCACTGTTTTCAAACCAACTTTTGGTGTTGACTTTGAAGCTGAAGCTGTTGTTTTGATATCTGAAGTGACAACTCTATTAGAAGTTGCAGTTAAAATAGGTAGAGTAACATTTGCAGTTCTTATCACATTAACAGGCTGTTTGGAAGGTACTGATGATATTTCTTTGAGAAAATTCATCCATCCTGTTGAAAAGGTACCAAAACAAATATGCTCTGCTCATTATGGTGTAGAATCTACAAGGAGAGTAAAATCTCCCTGTGTTTTAAAATTAGCTGTAGAAACATCAAAATTGAGTCTTTCTCATGAAGCAACCACAACAACAAAAACCTCTAACTTTTCGAATAAAAAGCAGTTAGAAACGGTGAATGGTGAAACGAGTCCAAAAACACTAAATGTCACTCCTGTTGATGAAGTTTCACTAGGTGGTGCAGTAATTTCAGCACCATGTGTTAAAGAGATGTTAAGAACAAGAAAAGCTTTATCTTTTGCTGGAGTAATACCAAAAACTTTCAACAGCACCATTTTGGAGGAATTCAGACCATTAATACACCTCAAACCTCTGTAGAACACCTAGAACAGTAAATGCCATCTCTTCTGTTTATGGGGCACCAGGAACTATAAACATCCCTCATTCAACTCATGTGACATTGAAACAAGCAAAACCTATCATCCCTCCAGAAACAACACTAAAATATTCCATATCTTCTTTTCAAGAGCAATCTCAACCAAGTTCCATTCCTTCACTTGAAGTGCTACAAAAGACATTAAGTGTCACACCTGCAGTTGAAAATTCTGTAGAAGGAATGAATTGCACCCTTTCTTCTGAGATGACACAAAAACCTGTAAGATCCAACATTTCAAACGAAGGTAAGCTAGATAAGTTCAAGTGATACCAAAAATGGTAAATTCCACTACTTTTGTTCAAGTGATACCAAAGACCCATTATATTCCAGTAGGAATAAGACTTCCTAACGTTCTTTTCATTTGAACAAGAGGAATATAGTCTACAGATTCTGATGTCACATGAATAGGAGAAGTGGAGTTTATTGTACCTGGAATCACTTGAATAGATGGGGTTGAGTTTAATGTTTCTGATGTGACATCAACAGAAGCAGAATTTACTATCTCTGAAGTATCTTGTATACGAAAAGATGAAGTAGAGTTTAATGTTCTTGGTGTCATCTGGGTAAAAGAGGTAGAGTTTACTGATCCTGGTGCTACACAAACAATAGGAGTGAAATTTTTTGTTCCTGGTGTTATATGATCAGCAGAAACAGGGCTTCCTATTATTTTTTTGACCTGAACAAGAGGAGTAGAGATTACTGTTCCTGGTGTCACTGGAATAGAAGAGGTGGAGTTTAATATTCCTGGTGTCACTTGAACGGAAGAAATGGAATTTACTGTCTTTGTAGTAGCTTTCACAGAGCACGTGGAATTTACTTTTATGTTTGTCATAAGAGTAGATGGAGTGAAATTTACTGTTCTTGTTGTCACACGAATAGGAGTGAAATTTAATGTTCCTGGTGTCACTTGAACATTAGAGGTGGAGCTTTCTGTCCTCTGCATTTTAACAGATGGAGTAAAGTTTACAGTTTTTGGTGTCACAGGATTAGAAGGAGTAGAGTTTACTGTTTCTGATGTAACTTTAACAGATGGAATGTAGTTTAGCATTTCTGATGTCACCTTACTAGAAGAGGTTGATCTTGTTTTCAGTGAATCTTTAACAGACTGTCTGGAACTTACTGTTTCTAATGGAACCAAGTCTATTGTTTTTGATGCCATTTTACCAGTAAAAGTGGAGCTTATTCTTCCTGCTATCAACTCAGAATCAGAGAAAGCACTTGCTGTCTCTGATTCATCTTCAACAAAAATTTCAAAGTTTACTGCTTCTGGTATAGCTTGAATGAAAGGACTGGGGTTTACAGTTCCTCTTGACACCTTACAAGAGAAGTTTACTGTATCTAATGAACCATCAACTGAAACAGAATTTACTGTTTTCATTGTAGCGTTGCAGAAGATGTCTAATTTCCCCTGTACACCTTCAACAGAAGGAATCGAAATAGATTTTCCTGGTGTTATTTTACCCAACTGATTGAAATCACCATCTTTTAATATTACGTTGATGGGTGAATCACTGTTCATACTTTGAAATGGCAAAGAATTGATCACTGGTGTGTTTTGCACTTTCATCACATGCATAGACGTCTTCATGTTTTGGGTTGTATTTTCCTCTCGTCCTTTTTTTTCAGTACATACAGACATCAGGGGTTTAGAATTCATGACTGATACTGCAGTATTTGTTTTGGAATCCCCCAGTGAACTATAATTTTTTAGTACTCCAGATTTAATAGTTGTACTAAAGAGTAAAGTCTTCAAAGCAGGATTACTGATGTTACTCACTGGAATAATAAGTTTTCCAGCAATTTCCTTCCCACCTCTATTTACAAGTTTGGCTCCAAATCTAATTTCACCATCAGATGCCTCTGTTCTATCCTTCTGATGCTCTGGCTTAATGCTTCTAGTCTCAAACATTTTACTCTCTCCTACACTGGGGAAAGCAGAACATGTAGCTGTTTCAATGATAGGTTTGGTTAAATAAGAGTTACAATCTGATCCTTTCGAAACTTCCAGAACCTCCTTCTTTGCTGTACCTACAAATGGTCTGTTTGTCAAAAAAACAGGAATTCTGTGTATTTTTCTCATCATAATGGATGATCTTTCTTCAGAAGTTACAACTGATAATACAGGTGCTGTTGTTTTATTAGATAAAAGCATTTCCATTTTACAATCTTCCTCTTCTAATGCTGGTGTATTGAAACTGGTAGTACATATGTTTCCTTCTGATACAAGAGTAGATTTCACTTCAATTTTTGAGTTCTTTATTGCTTTGTCTCTTTCATGACCTAACATCACATTAGAATAAAGTGCCCTAGAATACAACTTATCATTAAGGGTTAAACTATACAAGGGAGAAAGGTGGGCTACACATTCTGATCCTGAATCCCCAATTAGTTGTTTATCTTCCTTCAAAGAACTTTTTTGCTGAGATGTACATTTTTTCACTAGTAGACGCACCTTACTGGCTGAAGAGTCGGGTATGGAGTTACCACAATCATGCAACTCGGGTAGACTAGCTGATGACATAGTCTCAGTACTACTACTACATATCATTACATTGAATATATTATTCTTATCTACATTAATAGCTTCATCTCTTTGAAGTCCTATTGTTTCATCCATAAAATTTCTCATTTCACTATCACTTGACATAGAAGTCCAAGATGTAGCTTTGGTTCCTCTAATATCCATTTTTTCTATGCCTTTACCATCAGGACTAGATTCAAAATTATCTGTAAGTTTACTAGTGAACTCTTCTGGTATGATATTCACAGAATTAGAACTGTTAAAGTTTCCATAACTGTATGAAGGACTTGTATTTTTTACCTGTTTATCATAAAAGCTAGACAGTAATGATGATGAATTTTCACTTTTATCATCTGTAGAGCAAGATGTTGCAAACTGCAGTGATGCCGATTCATCTAAAATAGAACATTTCATCTCATTACCTGAAGGATGACTGCACTGTTTTGCTTTATCACTTTCCTTAACAATCATGTTGCTTTTTTTTAATTCCACAGAAGATAAACAATTCTCAGATGATTTAGCAGAATTAATATTTTCATTTTTTTCACAGTTAATCTGACTTATTTCTTGATCCATAGATGATGAAATCTGGAATGATTCTTTACATACCAAACTCTTTCGTTTTGTATTGTCAGTATCCAAATAATCTTTAGATAAAGATACTGAAGGCTCAAGAGGTTTCTCACAATCTAAGGTTTTTCTTCTTTCTTCTTCAATTTGAATGAATTTTTCAAAAGAAGATATAAAAGAGATAGAACAGTTGTGAGATCTTTGTAATTGCACCCCACTTGCAGCATCTTCAACTGAAATATTCTGGGCACTTTCATTTGCTTCTCTAATATTTAATCTTTGTGATTCATCAGAACTTTCTTCCTGAGCTATAGAGTTTATGGTGCATGTATCATTAGATGTACTATGTGTTTCAACAATTTGTGGAAGGTTCGAATTTGTTTTTTTTATTCTTCCTCTATGGTCACTGGCTTTTTTATCTACATCATGCATATGACTCTGAACTAGTTCTTTCTCTCTTTGTAATGAAGAATTCACAGTTCCATACAAAAGGTTGACAGAGTTTTTCATACTTGGTGAAACTGTTTTGAGATTACTCAAGGATAAGTCATTTATCTTTTTACATTGAATGATAGAGGAGTTTTCCCCTGGACTAGAAACACCAATAGAAACTTCAGATTGTCCTGTTTCATGCGACTTTCCCTGGGCTACACATGGCTTAGACTCTAGAGATGAAAATTCTAAGTTCATAGGAGAGACGGGACTACACGACGCTTCTTTCTTTGAGTGCACACTCATTTTGTCTCCATATACAGAACACGTACTTACAAAAGGACCCAATGAATTATCCCGAGTACTTTGAAAGTCTTTTCTAAAACTTTTTGACACAAATTTCTCAGACTCTCTATCTTCAGGTGTCATTAACTTTACAACTGTAACTTTCAGCTTCTTAGTGCTTTGTCCAGTATCCACATCTGAACTTTTTCTTTTTGCTTCAATACCATGATGCTTCATAAGTGCTTGCTGCACAAAATGTGTAGTGTTTGGATCAGAGAGAAACTTTGGGGAGAGTATATCTGACAATACCACAACTGGTTTTTTCACAACTGACTTGACTTTTGAAGTAGATGTCTTTTCAAAATTGTCCACAACTTTTGGGATGTATATAGATTTCACACTTCCTAAGTCCAGTCTAGATAAAACTACCTTTACAGTCTGTGTATCAGTAGGCTTCACTGATTCAGCAGTGGTCACCTCAACTCTTGGTAAAATTACCTCAGATGGCATAAGACCTGTTTTGAAAGAATCACCTGTTACAGATGGAACCTCACTCAAATAATGACTTTCCTTTTCACATTCACTCAATGTTTTTCTCCTCTTAACATTCTCAGATTCTTGTTCTTTACCAAAACCACACACACTATCTTCAGTAGTTTCAGCAACAGTTGTGGACACGAGTTCATTTTCCACATTATTAACAGTGAACGTACTACTTGTATAACACACAGCTGTACCACTGATAGAAGATACAGTGCTTTCACAGGAAAAAGGCAATATTGTATTTACGCTTGGAGACAAGTTATTTTGACAAGATAAACTTGTTTTCTCATGTATAGGTGTACTAATGGTTGAGGACATAGTGTGTGTGCTAGGTACAAATGTTTCAGTGCATGGAGTTACAGTACAGGATGACTTCATATCAACACTAGACTCATTGCTTCCACTTGGTAATGTAGTGTCGATGGCTTGAAAAATATTTTTTGCATGGAGTGGAACGGTATTAATGCTAAAAGACACGCTGCTTGCCCTATTTAAGGATATGTTCATATCAGATGAAACATTATTTGTACAAGGTGAGATTATGTTAGCAACGGGAGACAAACTGTCTGCAAAAAGCGATGTTCTGTTGTTGGGAGACATAACGTTTAAATTAAGTGAATTTGCATTAATTCTGGTAGATATATCATTTTCCAAAGGAAATGATAAGTTCATAATTGGTGTATTTTTTTCACATGGGATGCTTAAGTTTGTATTGTAAGGATTAATTGCACTAGGGAAAACTGTACTTATGCTAGAAGGCACTGTAGTTACAGAATATAAAGTCTTATTCATACTAGATGATATACTTTTTTGAATAAATAAAGTTCTGCTTACATCAGAAGGAAAACTGCTTGCACAAGAAAGTGGTGTGTTCACCTCATTCTGAGTATAACAATAATAATTTTCTTTTGTTCTATTTAAATAACATGTTTCCATAACAGCTGGTAGACACACTCTGTGATCTGACACTAAATCAGTCTCCTTACCTAAAGAGCTGCTATACTGCATGGCAACATTCAGTTTACAATTGTTTGCAATGTACGATTTACAAAGTGATTCCACTTCCTTCCAGCACTTGTTTGCTTTTAATAGTTGGCACCTCAGACATTCTAACACCATAACAAGGTCTTTTAACAATGAAAATGAAACCCCTGGAATATGCGTGTCCAAAATAGGATGACTATAGTTATAAATGTAAGGAGGCCTTCCATCATGATACAAACTGGCTAGAATTTCTGGTTCCTCTGAAGGCGTAGAACATCTTCCACCACATTTACACTCTATTTGGGACACTGAAGTGACATTACCTCCAGAACTACGAGCCAAATGTAAAATGTCATTAATTTCAGTGTCTTCTTGCTCGCCATATATGCTCTTATGGAGATTGTACAAAACACTGATCTTGTCATCAGTTGGGTCTAAACTAAATGAACTCAAAACACACTCATATGCTACGACTGGCCATCTACTGGCAAAAAGTGTACCAAATTTATTGTAAACAGAAGATATGTGAACTTGTAGCTCTTTTACTTCATCAGTGCTCCCTTTAATACTTATTGCTTCTAGATAGTTCAGGTCTGATGTCAAGCCTCGTACATACATCTCTATGTATAATGGAAACAAACTTGGCCCATACTGAAAAACAGAAGCATTGCATGATGATTAAATATTATCATAAGCATAAATACTAAAAGTATTTCTAATTCATGAAAATCAACAATTTACACATTCATTTAAAGTATGCAATAATACACATTTCTTCAATCACAAGTGGTGATAACCTAGTCTAAGCATGTGTGTGTGTGTGTGTGTGTGTGTGTGTGTGTGTGTGTGTGTGTGTGTGTGTGTGTGTGTGTG